CCCCAGTCATGGCCCAAGACCCCAGGGTGCCAGGCGCTGTACGAACACAGCACCGAAAGACACCGCCCACCCCAAAGAGCTAAACGCCTGGTCTCCGCGGCTGTTCAGAAACCATTTTTGCAGCCCCAGCCCTAGTGAGTTTCCCTCCCCTGCCCCTGATCTCTCTAACCTTCATTTGTTTCGCTCAGCGCAGTCCGGCCGTCAGAGCCAACCTGCGCGGTTTGTTTCAAATGCCCCAAAGCTGGTCATTTTGTTGTTTAAAAAGGAAGAATTATTTGAATCTCTTCCCCCCCGCCCCTGCACACACCCCCGCTCACCCAGGGGCAAATCAATGTTCTCTTCCGCTCCTAGGAGCACATATTGTGATAGATGCAGCGTGCACAGTAATTGGGATAAATGGCGGATGCAAAACCGCATTAGGAAGCTGAAATCTGTACTGGGCTGGGCACCAGGGCCTGATAAATTCTAAGCGAGTGCAGCGCTCTGGGCTCTGCACCACACTGGAAGCAAGGCAGTGATGCGATGAATGTCTGCGCTCTTGAGGATAGCTTGTCTCCAAAGGATCCCAAAGCCCTTAGGACGGGATTGCCAAAAGGGTCTAAATCCTATTGCCCCTTGGAAAATCCAGCCTTGCTGAGCTGACAGGATAACTACGGGGCTGTTGGGCCGTCTCCACTGCAATCCAGCCGCCTCTGCGGTGGGACGTGGCCAGCGTTTCACGGCGCACGGTGACCCTTTGGGACAGGAAGTGAAAAGGCGCTGATTGGTGTGGGGGCGCTGGGGGATGGAACGGATGAGCGGGGCTGGAATTTGGGTGGGACGCTGTGATGAACCCTGAGTGCAGTGGAAAATCCTCCCAGGCCTTTAACGCTGATTAGTGCCAGCTGTACGCTAATTGCTTCCCAGAGAGACAGGTGACCTGGCCCTTGACCTGACAAGCTCACAATATAAACATACTGCAATGGATCAATGTTGTCACAATTCAGGGCAACCGCCCCTATTATGTTCCCCTTCTGTAGTCCAACACGGGCAGCCACCAGCCAGGTTCCAGCTCCCCTGGTTGGCATCTGTCCTAGCGGAGACCAGCGTCTCTCTCCCTCCTGACCAGGCCTCCCAGCTCCCCGATTATACTGTGGATTCACCAGCCAAATCCAACTGTCTCAGCAAACCTGCTTTGCCTTTCTGCTCAGAGACGGTGAGAGGGTAATTGCTGCGGCTAGCAGGGGCCGCCCAACCTTTCCTGTACAAGCCCAGGTATTCGTAGGGTAGAAGCACTACAGAGAAAACCATCAAAGAACGTACACACGCGCTAATCAGCTCACCAGAGATCCCCACAAGGGCCCTGCCGGGCAAGGCCTCCATAAGGCGTCTCTGGTGAAGCCTCAACTGCGAACTAGCACCTAGTCTTATGGGGCCTCAGTGGGCCCACTCGTTCCAGCCCGTCTCTCAGGATTGGGGCCTTCTGTGGACCAGGGAACCTGTCCATTTGCTGCTTCTATTGGGGCCGATCAATAGTGCTAACCCCATCTGGCCTAGTGGTTAGAGCAGCGTGCTAGGATTGCAAAAACCTGGCTTCAGTTCCCACTTCTCCCTCTGAGCTGCTGGGTGAACTTGGGCAAGTCGCTCTCCCCACTCTGTGCCTCAGTTTCTCCATCCTTTAGCAAGACCGTTGAGCTCTAGGAATGAAAAGTCTCCTGGTGCAAACCTGGTGCACTTACAGATGAGCTCACATTGCTTCAGGCATGCAAGGTAACGAAACCAGGAACACCCAGGGTACAACAAACACTTTAAACAGCCGTCGCCAACGCAGTGAATGAGCCAAGAAACGGACGCAGAAAGGGGAAGCATTTGAAATCAATAAGCATCAGAAAAAAGTCCATCCCCTCCCAAGAAAAAGAGGGGGGTGGGGCTCCCACAGGAGGGGGGAGAGGGATCGGCAGCTGGGGGTGGGTGAGGGGGTTCAGAAGCCAAGTGGGACAGCGGCGCTCCCATGGGAGGGGGAAGGGTGATCAGCAGCCAGGAGCCAATTAATGATCCTTCCCCCTCCCCCATCCTTGCTAAGCTCCAACTTTTATTCCCATGATGCACTGGGGATTTGGTGGGGCCCAGATGACTAACGGCTCTGGGGTTTGTGCCCAGATGCCAGGGTGATGGGAGGGGAGGCGTCACTAGAAATGGCTGGGTAGATTTGAATTCCCAGGCTCCGGTTCCCACTCTCGCTTGCACCACAGCCAATCGGGAGCCAACACAGGGATGCGGGGTGAGCTGGAGGAGAACCACCAGGCATTGCGCACTGGCCCCCGCCCCCACAGGCTGCTGTTGCTGGGACACCCCCAAACACACCCGCCCAGCTCATGCTCCCGGCTGCGGACGGGTTCCCAGCCAGGCACGACAGCAGGGAGCTGGTCCTCATTCAGTTTCATTCTGATTAAATATGCTCAGAGGGGGGAATGAACCAGAACCATTCAGATCCCACTGCCCACCCCTCCGTTTATTTGCTGTGATGAACTCCAGTGCCGCTGGTGGGAGTGCAGGTCCCTGGCTCCAGGACCCCACCAGGACTGGTCTCTTCTGGCATGGAGCCACTTCCGGCCGTGTCAGGCTAAACTCTTTGGATTCAATATGACGGCGCAATCTGTGATTTCACATGGGCCGTGAGCTGGGTGGATGGAGAGTCACCGGTGCCCCCAGCCCTGCTCCCTTGGGAGAGAAGGGACCAGGCTGGGCTGCAATGAACATAAAGGGGGCTTCTTTAGTGAAGAGGCTGCGGGATACAGACAGGCCCTGTGGTTCCCTCTGGCTCTTGCAGGCTCCCTCCAATCCGGGCCTGGCTCCTGCGCTGTTGCAATGGATGATGGCTGCACTACGGTCACCTGCTGCTTTCCACTGCGCAGTCAGCCTGGCCCCGGCATCCTGCAGCTCTCAAGGAGGTCCGGGGGCTCAGCGCGCACCCTCCCACACACAGCGCTTGGCTGTTCAACCAGCCCCAGTGCAGGGAGTTCCCCAACTGGCCGGGAGGTGATGGAATGGCCCTCAGCCCAACGGGGAAGGGATAGCTCAGTGGTTTGAGCATTGGCCTGCTAAACCCAGGGTTGTGAGTTCAATCCTTGAGGGGGCCATTGAGGGATCTGGGGCAAAAATCTGTCTGGGATTGGTCCTGCTTTGAGCAGGGGGTTGGACTAGATGACCTCCTGAGGTCCCTTCCAACCCTTATATTCTATGATTCCAGCTCTTCTCAGCTGCTGGAAGGGCCTCTTGGGAGAGGGGGCTTTTGCCAGCAACTGGCGCGTATGTGTCCCTGTAGGACGGCTCAGAATTGGGCCCTTGTCTGCCATCGGGAGTTCCTTGGGGCAGAGGCTGCGTCTCCCTTTCTCTAGGCACCTAGAGCCTCCCCCGTCTACACGCCTGCAAGAAACCCTTTCCCCTGGGCACCAGGGGTTTGGTCCACCCACCCCTCATGGCCACGGTGCTGTAGCTCGCTCCAGGAGCAGGTGCCCGCATGGCTGAATGTTGTGCTTGGGGATGGCACGGGAGGGACCGCGATAAAGGCTGGGGAATTCCTGAGGAGTTGCTCAGCAGTGCCACACGCTGCAGACTGGTCCCACCGTGGGCAAGTCACTTACTGTGCCTCAGTTTCCCCTCCCACTTTTTGCCTGCCTCATCTATTTAGACTATCTCTGTCGGGAATTCAGTGGGAGAGGGGCTCAGTGTCAACCAGCTGCGTGTGCTGGTAACACAAACACTGGCGCCGGGTGTATTTGACAGGTAGACACACAGTGCGTGGAACTGGGTGGCGGTTCCAGAGGCCGGATGAGAGTGTGTGGGAGTGTGTGAGAAGGGGTCTGTGTTTGTGTTGGGGGGCCTGGGACTGGGCATGTTTGTGTTGGCCTGTGTGTGTCTCTGGTAGGTGCGTTTGTATTGGCCAGCGTGTAGCACGTGAGCTTAGAGGTGATGGGCTGGGGGGTACGTGGAGTGGTGGGGTGTCTGATGTATGTGTTTGTGTGCAGATGTCTGGCTTGTGTAGGTGTGAGAGGTGAGATGCGTGGTTGTTTGGGTCTGTATATGTGTTCTTTGTGTGTATGTGTGTGGGGTGGGGGGCTGTAAGTGAGGGGCATGGGGCTGTGTGGGCAGCCATGCATGCATTCTTTGTGGGGGGGTGGGAGGGTAGGTCTGTCTGTGTCTGTGTTGTGATCCGTGTGCATGGTGAGGGGTCTGTTTGTGTGTGTAAAGTGGGGTGGGGGGGTTCAGTGTGTGTGTGTGTGCAGGGTAGGCCTGTGGTTGTGTGTGTGTGAGAGAGAGAGAGAGAGAGAGAGAGAGAGAGAGGTGGTGTGGCAGGGTTGTCAATGTATGTATGAGGTGGAGGGTTTGTGCAGGGGTGGTGGTCACTGTGTGTGTGAGGCAGGGGTCTATGTGTGTGTGGGTTGTCAGTGTGTGTGTGAGGTGGGGGGTCTGTGTGTATGTGAGTTGTCAGTGGGGGGGGATAGGGTTGGTCGGTGTGTGTGTGTGTGTGGGGGGGGAGGTTGTAGGGAGGTCTCTGCTGACCAGTCAGTGGGTGAGAGGGTCTGTGTGTGAGGGGGTGTCAGTGTGTGTATGAGGGGAGGGTTGGTCTGTGTGTGAGGTGGGGGGTCTGTGTGTATGTGAGTTGTCAGTGTGGGGCGGGGTTGGTCGTGGCGGGGGGGGAGGTTGCAGGGAGGTCTCTGCTGGCCAGTCAGTGGGTAAGGGGGTGTAGTTCTGTGTTTGTTGTGCAAATACTCCCTCCCCAAATACTCTCCCCTGTGCCCACAGCCCTCCCCCCCAGTCCCCTCTCTGCGCATTCCCAGCCCAGATGCTGCTGCCGGGGGCTCCGTGTCACCCTCTGCGGCAGCTGGCAGAGCCAGGGATGCCCTGAGCCCCGCACAGAGCCCTCTGCATGTTCAGCCGCTCGGCGCGCACCCCGCTTGGGGGTGGCAGTTCTGGGCGCAGCCTAGGGCACCACCAGGGGCAGCCCCATCCCTGGCCACTGGGCACAACGCGTGGGCAGGGACGCTGGCTCAGGCATCACTCGGGCGTCGCTATAGATACTGGTTGCCATGGGCAACTGCTTCAAAGCATCCCAGGCATCGCTGTGTGCATGAGATTGAAGGCGATCAAGCCGCAGTCTCTGAGAAATGGGCAGAGGGGCATGGCTGGGAGATCAAGGGGGCTCAGGGGCCGACGTGGGCCAAGGGAAGGGCTAAACTTTGGGGACCGTCTCCAGCCTGTGTCATCCAGGAGATCAGACTGGACGAGCACAGTGGTTCCTTCTGGCCTTGGAATCCGTGAATCTATGAACCAAACCCGTCCCGCGTTGAGCAGCCGGCGGCATCTCCATACAGCACTCTGCGGCTTGGGCAGCCCATCCCCGCTGCTCAGCATCCCAGTGGGCATCGCTGCCAATGCAGAGCCCCTGGCTGGGGTGGCGAGGGACTGTGCCGCACATGGAGTTCTGCGCACCGGCGGTATGTACCAGCAGTGCCCGCGACAGGCTCTTGCTGGGTGTGTGGCTCTCTCCTGAGCCCCGCTCGGCTCTTGTGCAGGGGGCGGGATGGAGAGGGGCAGGCTCATGCAGAGAGATGCTCCGGAGTGGGACATAGTCACTGATCCTCCCAACTTCCAGGGTGTGCTGTGTGTACAGGGGACAACTTGGTGTCCCTCATACAGCATGTGTGTGTGTGTGTGTGGGGGGGGGGCTCTAGAACAGGGGGAGGGGTGAGTGATTCAGATATAATGTACCGGTGGGGAAAGGTGCATGTCTGCATGTAACGTGTATAATGTGTTTCTCTGTCTGCATAGATACATATACACACACACTCTATACGTATACTGTACTGTATATAGTATAATGATAGAGGTGGTGTGTGTGTGTGTATATATATATATATATAGAGAGAGAGAGAGGCTATTTGTCCATACTTTGTATTAACGGGGAGAAGTGTGTGTTTGTGTAGGCTGTGTGTGTGTCTATATCCAGTACTGATGGGGAGAGGGGTGTGTGTGTGTGTACAGGTGCATGCACGCACAAGTCTCCAGGGGCAGGTCAGGCCAGGCTCTGTGTGTGTGTTAGGCTATGTGTGTGTCTATATCCTGAACTGATGGGAGGTGTGTGTGTGTGTGTGTGTGTGTGTGTGTGTGTGTGTACAGGTGCATGCACGCACAAGTCTCCAGGGGCAGGCCAGGCCAGGCTCTGTTTGTGTGTTAGGTATGCGTGTGTCTATATCCTGAACTGATGGGGAGAGCCAGGACTGGACCACAGGAGATGGATCACTCAATAATCGCCCTGTTCTGTTCATTCCTGCTGAAGGCCTTGGCACCGAGCACTGTCAGAGCCAGGAGACTGGGCTAGAGGGACCTTTGGCTGACCCAGGATGGCCGTTCTTACGTTACAATGATAGAGCAAAGGCTTACGGGACATCAGCACAGCAGCTGGATAGACGTATGTGCACCCACTCTGGCCGAGCTAGCACCCTGACAACAGCAGTGTAGGCCCAGGTGGCACACACACAAACAGCGGGAGCGGCTGTCTGCCTGAGTCTATACCTAATGTCTCGGATGGGATCCTGCTCAGGGCGACTAGCTCCTCCCACTGCTCACACCACTGCGGTTGCCCTACCATTTTTAAACACAATCCGAGCTAGCGCAGGTATGTCTCGTCCAGCTGGAAATGATACCTCCAGATCGACTTGCCCATAGGCTCAGTGGTTTGAGCATTGGCCTGTTAAACTCAGGGTTGTGAGTTCAATCCTTGAGGGGGCCACTTAGGGATCTGGGGCAAAATCAGTACTTGGTCCTGCTAGTGAAGGCAGGGGGCTGGACTCAATGACCTTTCAAGGTCCCTTCCAGTTCTAGGAGATGAGATAGCACTGCCACTGGTCTGACTTAGGAGCCAAAGGCTAACAAGAGTTGGCTGAGCCGTACTTAGACCTGATGGAAATCTAGGGATGCCCAAGGACTGCTAAGCAATGACACGGGGAGGGCCTACCTGTATCTGAAGGCGCTGAACCCTAAGATGGACCAAGATCAATGGGGTAAAATTAGCTAAAGGAAAAGGTGATTATCGACTGTTATGGCCGCTTCTAGGGTGCTCATTACATCACACCTGAACACTGAAAATCAGGCCAGACTCCCTAACGGGGACAGCTGCAATATTATAGCAACTAGAGGCCCCCCAGTGGGATCAGAGCTCCGTTGGGGTGGGTGCTGCAGAGACACAGAGTGAGAGACAGTCTCTGCCCCAAAGAGCTTACAGCCCGAGCAGTCATAGAATGGGAGGGGAAACTGAGGCACAGAGGGACAACCGGAGCCAGGTGACCCAAGTCATTGGCCAGCGTTCCACTCACTAGAGCACACTTCCTAAGTAAGCAGTGGGCACTCCATCCGTAGAGACTGTTACACTGCATGGAACCCATCCTGCACTGACCAGCTGGGAACAGGACAAGCTCTGGCCAGGCAGAGACCTCTCCTCTGGCACAGCAATGCTTTGCTCGTCTCTAATCCCTTCCAGTCAGAGGCGCTCGCAGCTGGGCTGTGAAGAGAATCTTGATGGAGAGGCAGCATGGCCTAGTGGGGAGGGCACTAGGCTGGGACGCAAGAGATTTGGGCTCTATTTGGGATTCCGCCACTGAGCTGCTGCGTGACCTTGTCCAAGCCACTTCGCCATCTCTCCCTCAGTTGTTCATTTATCACTCCTAGGACCCCCAGTCTTGGATCAAGACCCCCATTGGTGCGAGGCATTGCACAAACACCCAATGAAACTTACGTTGCAAACTCTTGGGGGCTCTCTCAGTTTCTGCACCTAACGCACCTGATGCAACGGGGTCCTGATCTTGGCTGGAGATTCTCAATAATGTTTCAGAACCATGCTTCTGGGCTAGCATCCTTCCCTGCTTCCCCCGTGCAGAGAGAGGCCTTGCAGATCACAGCTGTGCTTTAGATCCAAGCCCCCTTGACTCCCACTTTTCCCTAAGGCGCTTTTAGGAGAGTTAACAAGTGTAGGGAAAATGACCAATCAAACCTTTAAGAACCCTGCTTTCAGGGTGATGGGACTAGCTGCTCTGGAGTCTGCACAGTTCTGTGCAGGCAGCCGTGACTCATTAATCTCTGGCTGAGGATGGATTGACTCATTGGCTGGCGTTTGTTGACTGTCCACAAAATCGTTTGTGCAGGTTGTAATTAAGGGCCTGATCCTGCAGTCTTTCCTCAGGCGTCTTGCAATCTGCAGGATTTGAGCCAATATTTGGTGCCATCAGTGCAAAGCCTGCTGGATTTCTAGCAAGGATCAGACCCTTGTAATGCTTCCACGGCCTTGGGGAGGGGCCCAGCCAGTGCGTTGTTACACAGAAGGCAATTGTTTGCGGTGTCCAGAGCTGCACAGATGTCGTCATTTCTTTGTTTGGAGTATGACAGTAGCAACTAGAGACCCCAATCAAGACACAGCGGCCCCATCAGCGCCAAATTTTCCCAGCGCTGGTGGGTGCTCGCCCCGTACCCCGCCCCCATTCCAACCCCTTCCCCAAAGTGCCTGCCCCAACTCCACCCCCTCCCTGCCCCTATTGCACTCCTTCTCCAAATCCCCACCTCTTCCCGCGTTCCCCCTCCTCCCCCTTCCCTCTCAGTGCTTGCCGCCGAGAAACAGCTGTTTTGCGGCCACCAGGGCCCGCTCTAGGCACCAGCGCTCCAAACGTGCTTGGGGCGGCACTTTCCAAGGGGTGGCATTCCGGGCCCCCCCACTTTTTTTTTTGCTTGGGGTGGCAAAAAGCTGGGAGGCGGCCCTGGCCAGAGCCCTGCCGCTGGAGAGCCAGAGCATCGTCCCCTGGAGCCGAGCCCAGGCTGCGGCGGCGAGAGGGGCTCCTGGAGTGTGTGAGGAGCCGGAGAGGGAGGGAAGCGGGGCCCCGGATGCAGGGAGGGAGGAGGGGTCCTGCTGCTGCTCTGAGTCTCCCCAGGGCGGTGCAGTGTTTCCCCGCCCGAGTGGGCTGTGCAGGGCGCCGCTGGGCTGTGCAGGGGGCGCGGATCCCGGCTCGTGCACTGATGGGGCGAGTGGCTGGGCAGCCCGAGCTGCCAGGGAGCTGCCATCACCCCCTCCTGTCCCCGGACCCAGTGCGCTGCGCATCTCCCCCGCCTCAGCCCTGCGCTGCTTACCCCGGACCCCCACAGCACCAGGGGCAGGGAGAGGCAGAGCCCGGCTCCGAGCAGGGCAGCGGGGGATACTGCCCCGCTGGGGGACCCCCGCAGCTTGGGTACCTGGGGGTCAGTGTCCATCCTCTCGGCTCTGCCTGCACGGGGCTGGGGAAGCAGCTGTCAGCACCTGCCCCTCTCAGCCCTTGCACCCCCATCCCGCTCGCAGCCTCTTCACTTGTACCTCCCCGCATCGCTCCTTCGCCGAACCCCTTCCCCTTGTACTGTCCCTTCACCCACACTTCTCCCCTTGTGCCCTCTCCCCCTGCACCCCCCCTTCCCCTGTACCTCTTCTCCCACAACCCTTCTGATACCCCCTCTCCTCCACAAGTACATCACACCCCGCTTCTCTGCCAGTGTAGAGCCCCCAAGCACCCCCACACCCGCTCCTCTGCCTGAACCCGCTTTACTAGATCCCCATCCCTTTCCA